ATAATCTCCTAGGAGCAGCCTCCCCCTCCCAAGTACATCTAAGAAAACCAAATAGAATTCCTCCTCCGAGAGTGTTTAAAAGAAGGTCAGTTCCTTTTCATTCCGGGTGACTTCATGCCGTCAGCGAGTGGAAGGCAAGAGGCTGGCTGAGAGCAGGCCAGTCACACAGGCACAGGGGCCTTTGTGGAAGGAAGCGGTGCAGCCGTGAGATAGCTGAGAAGTCTCATCAGATGCAGAACCACAGCACAAGTGCCATATGTCCTCCGTCCCGCCTGTCAGATCCATCTCTGTCCCACCCTGGTAAGTGGAGAAAGGCTGGCAGTGATTTCTGCAAACCTAAAGACTTTCTGCTCCGTATCTGTGGACGGCAGCAGAGTAAATCACGATCCCAGGAGCACGTAGCTGGCACGGGGGCAGCTGGCCCTGTAGCACGTTGGTGGCTCTCACAGTGACACCGTCATGATTCTCCACCTCTGCTCTTTTGCAGACATCACTGGGCAGGGAGGAGAATCTGCTTCATGGCAAGAGAACCATTTTTCTTAAAGCCAGAGGACCTGCCTTGGTCTAGAAAGATAAATTCAGACAGGCCAGGCACACAGGAAGAAGACATGGGCAGCCAAAGCAGCACAAAAGAAACAGCAGGTAGACACCTTCCCCTGGTGCTGAAGGGTCGACGAAGGCAGTGAGGAGGGAGGACCGCCCTGGGACGAGAGAGGGGCAGAGATGCTGCGGAGGTAACTCCCGGAGCACGAGCCCCAGGCGCCCTGAAAGAGCCTGCCCGCCAAGTGAGCAGCAGGGGCAGAGTGAGGACTGCTCTTCCTTTTTATTCTGTTCTTTCCCCCATCCTTCTTTCAGGGGGCTATTTTTTGAGACAGGGTCTCACTGTGTAGTTCAGGCTGGCTTTGAACTCCAACAATCCTCCTGCTTCAGCCTCCTGAGTGCTGGGATTAGAGGCGTGGGCCACCATGCCCAGCTCATCTTCCCTTTCAACCATTGCCACTCAAAGAAAGGACACTTAGTAAACTGATAGGCACAGTGGATGGTGAGACCTGGGGAAGCGGTAAACAGTCCTCAAGTCTGATGGGGAAGGCGCACTGGGGGGCTTTGGGTAACCTCAGGGATCTCTGCTAGGCTTGCTTATCACCTCCACAAACAGTGACACAGGACTTAGTCACTCTTCTGAGCTCCCCCAGTGAACGTCCCCTGCCAGCTCCTCGACAGGCCAAGCCCGTGGGGCGACCGTGATGGGCTGCAGGAGAGCAGTGGTCAGAAGACTGGCTTCTTCCAGTGACTCGGTGCCATTCAGGGCCCACTGCCATCTGGAGGGAGTCTGTGCCCGCCCCTGCTTGGGGAGGTGGTGGCTGAGGAAGGGAGGACATGGGGACGCGACGGTTGGAGCCAGCGGGAGGCAGCTCCGTGATGGTGCCTCCCCTGGCAGTGTATGTGGGTGACTCGGGCTGGGGGTCTCAGTCCTTGTATCTGCCCAGTCCCTGTCCTCAGGAAGGATTCAGTCTCCGGGACTGGTTTTCCATGTCGTGTGGCAGCACCTGGTGGTGACCGTTTCCTCCTTCGGTCATCAGTTTAGGGTCTTGAGGGCTGTGGCCGTGGTGTAAAGAAAGGAGGCTGGGTGCTTACTGGCTAGAATTGATTCTGGGGTGATGCGGATGGCAGTGTCAGGTAGGGACGCTCCCATTGCCCCTGGGAAAATCTTCAGTTACCCCACTGTCATCAAGCTGCCTCCTCTCTCTCTTCTCTTGCCTCCCATTTTCAGTCCAGGCCAAGAGTTAGGTTACCGCCGAGGGGAAGCCCAAAGCTGTCCAGGTGGTAAGGGACACACCACAAAAAGAAGTGTCAGGGACAGCTCCTCCTCCGGACGGAGAAGGTCGATTGCCCTTCTCCAGTAGGTAATGGACACCCTTGGAGTTCCTACCCAGAGGGGCTCAGTCTCCAGACTTTTCTCTCACCTGCCATCGAGAGCATTTCCTCTCTGGCCAGCTCCTTGCCCATTCACATGGACTTCAGAAGCCTAGGAGCAGGCTTCGTCCAGTGTTTCCCCCATTTCTGATGGGTCTGACTCCATCCACATCCTGCCTGTGGGCTCTGGAGTGCTGGGAGCCTTGGCAGTACAGAAAATGGAATGGACTGTGCTTGTTGCAGAGTGCAAAAAAATTCCAAATTAGTAGATCAGTCACAGACTTTAGCTAGCCTGGCTCAAGTTCTGCCCCACACGGGAAGAAGCGTCTCCCAGGAGATGGGTCAAGCGGCACACCGGTGAGCTCCCTTGCACCTTGCATGCCTTGCACACCTGCACTCATGTGGCTCCCAGTGGAGGATATTTGGAGCTGGATGTTGACACGGGAGAAGAAGCACAGACTATCCTGGGAGCTTGCAAGGAGCGATTTGTACAACCACCCTGGATGGTTGTCCTAGACGGGCATCCATCGTTCCTTTATCTACGGAGGCCATGAGTACCCAACATCGTCAGGCCTCGCGTGTACTCATCCCTCTGGAACTTGAAAGTCCTCGGTTCCTTCCTGAGCTACCCTGGCTTCACACACAAGTGTACCGAGAAGGCTTCTTGCCTGGCCAGTAGCCCACATGTTGAAGTTTGACTTGAAGTTCTTTCCAAAGAAACGAAAATCAACAGATTAGAACACGGGTGAGGAGTTAAATTAACAAAGGCTTTTTGAGCCTTTATTATTTATTTATTAAATATACAGAGATACATGTTTTTGATGTCAGGGTCACTGAGTATAGTTCAGGTGGTGTGACTTTTGTGACTTGTGACTTGTGGGGTCTTTGGTTCGCACACTTTTAAAATTACCGCACAACCATTTTTGATGTACAAGTCAGTAGTGTTAAGTACATGCACGCTGTTGTGCAGCCAGTCTCCAAAATCCTTTTCATCTTGCACAGCTAACCCTCTACAATCCATTTCCTTTCCCTTCGACCTTGGCAACCACTGTCCCACTTCCTGTCACTATGAATTTGGCTTCTCAGCACCTCATACTCGCATAAATGAAAGTGTAACAGTTTTGGCATTTGTTTTCATTTTTTCTCCCTGGCGTGTTTTTTACTTATTATTCTGTCCTCAAAATTCATCCACGTGTCAGAATTTCCTTCCCTTCTGAGTTGTATCTCATTTTTGTGTGTTTCCCCCAATGCTGGGCATTGGGGTTGCCTCCGAGCTCTGCCTACTGCGAGTACTGCCGCTGTGAACATTGCTGTGCAGATGTCTCCTCAAGACTCTAACTCCTGAAACCTGCACTTTTTAAAATTGAGTTAAGAAATTTATTTTGTGTGGTCTGGAGGCTGGGAAGTCCAGGGTCAGGAGCCAGCGCCTGGTGAAGTCTTCTTGCTGTGCCACATGTGGCGCCATCTGGATGGGAAGTGCGCAAGCTCAGCTCTCTGTTCCTCCTGTTACAATACCATTAATCCTGTCGTGGGGCTCATGGGCCTCCCTGTAGCCTGATCTAACCCTGATCACCTCTTCTTGACCCCACCTCCACATACCATCAACATACGAATTGGGGTATTCAGATTCCAACATGGGAACTTCTGGGGCACATTCAACTGTCACAAGCACTAATTTCACCAGGGAACATTGTAAGCTTCTATGCATGTTTGCTCTTCAAAAGCTTCTGGTGGTGACCTTCAGCAAGCCCTGCTTAGAGAATCACAAAATAGACGATAGCAACAGGTCAGCTTTGCCCTGGTGACTGAGACACTGATCGTGGGCAGAGCTTGCAATGACATTGTGGACTGCTAAAAACCCGCTTTCTCTCACAGGGAGACTGTCACGTCCAGCCATACTCTGTCCCACTACTGTGTGCCCTTCTCACTGGCAAAAATCTACAGCTGACATCTGTGGCCCTGTTTCAAAGTCAGAAGAGGGGCAGAGGCCGAGGAGTTGCTAAAATAATTTCATGAGCAAGTTGATCTGAGAAATGATCTGTGCACACATCTTAGAAAAGGGAGAGCTAGCCAGCCCCCTATGCCCCAAAGAGCATCTCTTCGCGTGCCCTTTTATTGTCTGCGGGCATGTAAAATCCATCATTCTCCATCATCTGGCGTTCAGACAGCTAACTCGGCTCCGCTCTCAGCTTAGAGGTGGTTGGGGGTTAGCATTCCACCTTCCTGTCAGGAGGAAAGGGAATCTGGTTCAGTAACCAGAGCAGAACTCATTCATCTCATCTTTTAAGACCCCTGAGGCAGAGTCTTCCACAGCGCCCAGACGCAGGGTCCTCGGGCATTAAAGAGCTGCAGAAATCCAATGCACATCCATCACAGGAGGATAGCAGGGAAGCGGCGCACAGGTGACGGATTCTGAAGAGTGAATGCACACCTTTGTGCTTCTGCCTTCTTAAAATTCATCCTCTCACCTGCCAGCCTGGAGGATTGCCTATTTACATAACTAGCTGCCTAAAACGGAATATTGGATAATGGTACATGGCGGCTCCCTCCATGTGAGCCCTTCCCGGGATTTGAGAGTGATCCAGAAGCCCCCCGACAGCATGGAGCGTGCCACTCTGGCCCCCAGCCATGCCTGTGCATGGTGTCATCTGTCAGCCCTCCAGAGCCAAGCAGATGTCAGGCCCGATCGGCCCCGGGATGGGGGGTGGCGCTGTCAGCAGAGGACAGACCATGTCTCTTCCCTGGCTTCGCGACGGGGGCCTTGTTCTGCCCAAGGTGCTGCATGGAGGCGACACACAGAGGGCGGGGGTGGGGGATCGCAGATCCATGGGGACCGCCCTGCCCACGGGAGGTGATCTGTTTGCTCTGATGCCATCCTGGGCACCATGCCAGCCTCACACCCCCTGTTGGTCCCTTTCCGCAGCACAGATCTCTCCCATCAAAACCGGAATCATGCTGCTCACTTATAGGAGGAGCATAAATAAGTGATAAGAAAGTGTTCTGATAATGATAAGCAGACATAGCTCCTCAGCAGACCAGATGTATCAGAGAAGGCAATTGTGTGTGTCTGTTCATTTATTTTTCAGCGTTCCAGTTCCCGTAGTCAGTTTAGAGAAAATCCCTAACCTAGTGAAGGCAGATGGTGCCAATGTCAAAATGAACTCTGCAACCACTACTGCGGTCACCTCTTCCTCCTCCACCTCCTCCTCCGCCACTGCTGCCGGCTCCACCCCACCTGTAATTAAGCCCGTCCTGATGTCCAAGTCAGTGCCGCCTTCACCAGAGAAGATCCTAAATGGCAAAGGAATTCTGTCAGCCACCATAGACAAGAAGCACCAAAATGGCACCAAAAACAGCAACAAGCCTTACCGGAGACTTTCAGGTATGTGTCGGTGTCGTGAGAGTCTGGCTCGTGATAAGGCTAAAGTTGAGTCCGATCTATAACCGAGGAGTGACATGTTCTTATAGTTAAGCAGCTCTGTTTGGCTTTAAGAGGGATGCAGAGTTTTACCTGCAAGTGGAACCAGCACCCAAAGCACAGGGGACAGCTGCGTCTCTTGGCCCCCAGAACTTGTGAGCAGGTGGCCCCGTGAGGCCACATCATGCTGACAGGTGACCGCCCCTGGCTCCCATGGATAGGTCACTGCTGTGGAGGTGACAGTCCAGAGGGCACGCAACATGCTACACAGAAGGGAGACACAACCTCTGTCCCCGGCCCTTTGGGTTTCTAGGGAGCTTCCGAAGTTGGGATGCAGTTGCCCGTTCCTCATGATGAAGCTGGAATTCCCAACTGGGAAGGCCCAGGTCAGCGCAGCAGGTGGGGAGTGGGGAGTTCTCCCTGGGGCCCATTCCTCGGCTGTCTGATCAGTCACCCAGCCACTCTTCAAGGTGACAGCTGCCTTGCAAGAGGCCCCGAGTGGATGATGTTTGCTTTGGATCTGTTATAGAACTAGACATGGCAGCTGCACTCTCCCAGTGAGCAGGAAAAGCTGTGAACTTCTGCACTGTGGGCATAGTTAGTGGTGGCCAGAATAATTAAAATGCAGAGAAAGGCTGTCTTCCGCCATGAGCGTGTTTTTTAAGCACCCAAGGAAGTGTGGGTAATTTCTCCTTCATGTAGTTACCTACTTCATATTTACCTGTGTTTCTGGTTTTTTCTAGCTTATATCTTGTAGCTCTTGAAAAAAATGACATCTTAAAAGTAGCTCAGGCCCAAAGTATTCGGTGGCACAGGTGCTGTGCCCAGCACATCCCTCCCTTGCACCCTTTGCTCACTGTGAGCACAGTGGGCCCAGCCCCAACTCCCAGCTCTCTTCCCAAGCAGAAAATGCAGTCTCATTCTGCAGATGTGGGTGGTGACATCCCTGGAAAAAAAAAAAAAAAAAAAAAATAGGCCTGGACACAGTGTCCAGAGGCTGTGGGTGCCTCGTTGCAGCAGAAGCCTGACCCTGGCTCCCAGCCTGTGCCCCAGTCTGAAGTTGTCTGGGGATGGAGGGCAGGTTGTTGCTCTTTGCATTCCGTTGGTTTTCTTGTCTCACTGGGTCTTCTGCTTGTTTCTTCTTCGCTGTCACATTTGGCAACCAGCTCCTGGCCCCAGCCAGTAACCCGCTGCACTCTGGGCCAGCATGAGGCACATGTGGTGGCCTGGGCCCAGACCTGACTCTCACAGGCCCGAAGGAAGCTCCTAGCAGGGAGCCCGGACCTGGCACCTGGGCACTGGAGGACTGCTGGGCACAGGGCTCCAAGGAAACAGGAGCTCCCAGCCTCACAGCTTTCTTTTCTGAAAAGAAAAAGAAGGCAGAAACAGAAAGGAGGAGGGAGGCGTTTTGAGAGCCATGGATGTGAGGGTGGCTTCCAGCAGACGTCGTCCTGGCCTGTTGCCATCTCCTCCTAACCCCAGCCCTCCCTGAAACCAGAACACTTGCACCACGTGCACTCAGTTGAGTTTGCAGCCACTGAGGCCCTCGGGACACCCAAGGGCTCTGTAGCCCCTCGTGCCAGGAGCCCCTGCCATACTGTGGGGAACAGCTCTGCGTGCAGAGCAAAGCCACCCCAAAACCTAAAGGGACCTTACAAGACTGCCTTGTATCCTCAAATTTTCCAGGCATGGTGAGCCTTTTTGGTCATCTCAGAAGGAGTGAAGGAGCCATGGTAGGCGTTAAAAGAACAAGTTCCTTAGACATGATCTCCACACAGGCCACCAACAGGAGGGAGGACCTGGGGAAGCCCAGACTCCTCACACAGCCACCTGCCTGCACAGGGGCAGTGGGTCCTGCCTCATTCCTGATGGCGCTTCAGGGCCAGGGCTGGGGCAGAGCACAGGGCTCGCCGTGCAAGGCTCACGGCAGACTTCGGCCCCTGCCTGGGACAGTGCTGGCAAGTTCCTGAACCAGGTACCCACCTTGCAGGCCTGAGAATCCTCTGCCAAGGGCTGCATCAGACCCAGAGAGGAGGTCACACTGTCCTGTGGAGGAGCGATCTGTCACTGATGTGGCCATGGGAATGGGGGCTTTTGGAACAGCCTGGGGAGGAGGGGCCCTTAGTATCAGATGGCTGTCCCCGGTCTGCAGCCACCATGCGGAGTGCTGAGGAACAGTGGGACCAATTCAAGTAATCCCGAGTGTCACCAGCAGCACAGCACCCGCCTTCTGGGGCCCACTCCTGCCCTGTATGCTGGCCTTACAAACTCTGGGTTCAGGGAGGACCACTATTTTCCCCTGAGCGGTTCTTGAAGCATTTTCACAGCCGGTTGAAAAAGACTGCCTGACAATGTCTCAC